TCCTCTTTCCTCTTTTCTCTTTCCTTTCCTCTTTTCCTTCCCTTCTCTTCCCTTCCCCCTTTCCTCTTTCCTCTTTCCTCTTTCCTCTAACCTTCCCTTCCCCCTTTCATCTTTCCTTTTTCCTTTCTTTCCCTTTTTCCTTTCCTTTCCTCTTTCCTCTTTCCTCTTTCCTTTCCTCTTTCCCCTTCCCCTTCCCCTTCCCTTCCCTTCCCTTCCCTTCCCTTCCCCCTTTCCCCTTTCCCCTTTCCTCTTTCCTTTCCTTGCCTCTTTCCTCTTTCCTCTTTCCTCTTTTCTCTTTCCTTTCCTCTTTTCCTTCCCTTCTCTTCCCTTCCCCCTTTCCTCTTTCCTCTTTCCTCTTTCCTCTAACCTTCCCTTCCCTTCCCCCTTTCCTCTTTCCTTTTTCCTTTCTTTCCCTTTTTCCTTTCCTTGCCTCTTTCCTCTTTCCTTTCCTCTTTCCCTTCCCTTCCCCCTTCCCCCTTTCCTCTTTCCTCTAACCTTCCCTTCCCCTTTCCTCTTTCCTTTTTCCTTTCCTTGCCTCTTTCCTCTTTCCTCTTTCCTCTTTTCTCTTTCCTCTTTTCCTTCCCTTCCCTTCCCTTCCCTTCCCTTCCCTTCCCTTCCCTTCCCTTCCCCCTTTCCTCTTTCTTCTTTCCTCTAACCTTCCCTTCCCCCTTTCCTCTTTCCTCTTTCCTTTTTCCTTTCCCTTTTTCCTTTCCTTGTCTCTTTCCTCTTTCCTTTCCTCTTTCCCTTCCCTTCCCTTCCCCCTTTTCTTTTTCCTTTCTTTCCCTTTCCTCTTTCCTCTTTCCTCTTCCCTTCCCTTCTCATCCCTTCCCTTCCCCTTTCCTCTTTCCTTTCTTTCCCTTTTTCCTTTCCTGTTTTCTTTCCCCTTCCCTTCTCATCCCTTCCCTTTCTTTCCCTTTTTCCTTTCCTCTTTCCTCTCCCCTTCCCTTCCCTTTCCTCTTTCCTTTTTCCTTCCATTCCCTTCCCTTTTCCTATTTCTTTCTTTGCACTTTTTTTTCACTGACATTACTTTTCCTTACTTCCCTTACTTTTCCCTTTCAATATTTGTAAAGCTTTTATTCTTTTCAAAATTCCTTCAGTAAAAATTATATAAAAGAAAAGGAAAAAAAGGAACGAAAAGATGGAAAGCTGGATCAGCGGGTCATGCAGAAGTGTAGCACAAAGACTCTGAGAGGGCTGTCTTGTATTTTCAAGAAATGACAGGCCTAAATTATTTTGCAGGTCAGTTATCTGCAAAACTCTTAATAGCACCTCCTCCTCCTCTTCCATTCAACATTAAGTCCTGTTGAATTCCCAGGGTCTTACTTTCCCATAAATGAGCGCAGCTTTTTGGAACAGATTTTCAATTTCGCCCAGAACTGGAGACTGTAACCTTTCCATTTTACCACAAACTAACCTCTAGCGATGTCATTTCAAACTGATTTTAAATTTAAGCCCCCCTTTTTTTGGGGGGGGGGAGGCCAAGATTCCAGTTCCTCCCCAGACGTGTCTCGAGGAAACAGATTTTCATCTTGTGGCTTTTCCAGGTGTCCAAAGAGTTGTCATTCATTAACGTGCGCGGGGCCGTCGGCCGCAGTTGCAAGAATAATTAAATTGCCCAGCATCTCTACAGATTTCCATTTCTAGGTGTGTAAGACAGTGGCTGGATTATTCCCCCCCTACCCTGCTTTTCTCTCCCCTTTTCAAAATGATAAAAGTCCAAGTTGTTCCTTTGATAGATTTTTAATATGATTTTAAGAGAGTTTTGTTTGGCCTCTTTCTTAGGCAATAAGATTAAATTTAAAGCACTTATCCCCTGGGTTTAAGTCAATCCATGTAGGCCCTGCCTCGGACAGGAGGCCTCTTTGTATTGAGGGGAGGGGGGGTCCCTCTGTTTGCAGTGCCTCTGAAAAGAGACTGCTGTCCCACTTCATTAACCCTAAGCTGGGGACAATCTTCTCGCCTTGTCCGCCTTTGCACACCCACACCTTTTTTATAAGCACGCACACAAACTCACTCATATGCTCACCCTAAAGCCGAGGATTTTCCAGATCCCCCCCACCCCCCAGTTGTCGCTTTGTTATGCAAAATTGTCATCTTTCACAATACCAAGGCAAGGCGGACTGAATGAATTACAGCTGATTTTGGAGCCATACACATTCCGAGTATAACCCCTCAAGCTCTCTTTTCAAAGTTTTTCTGTCTTTCTGTCTTTCTGTCTGTCTGTCTGTCTGTCTGTCTGTCTTTCTATCTATCTATCTATCTATCTATCTAT